TATGACCAATTTGTTGAATGCACATAGATTTGCAAATCTTTCTCCATTTTCGTTTCTCTCCCAGTCCATGTCGTCCCATAATATCTTCATATCCAGTGTTGTCTATTCCGACTTTGGCATTTAGATCTCCCATCAGAATAGTTAGGTCCTTTCTTGGCATTTCTCAATGATTGACTGCAGCCGCTCGTAGAACTGATCTTTAATGTCGTCGTTGCTATCATTGGTGGGTGCATAACATTGGATAATATTCATTAAGATCCCCTCCTTCTTTGTTTTGAATGATGCTTTGATGATTCTGGATCCGTGAGATTCCCATCCTACAAGTGCATTTCGTGCTACTTTGGACAGCATAAGAGCGACTCCCTGAGTGTGTGGAGCATTGTCCTCTTCGTGACCGGAGTATAGCAGCATCTCTCCCGTAGCTAGCCTTTTCTGTCCAGCTTGGGTCCAGTGGGTTTCGCTGATTCCCAGTACTGCTAAGTTGTATCTCCTCATTTCCATTGCTATTTGACTGGTCTTCCCGGTTTCCCACATTGTTCGAACGTTCCATGTACCTATAAAAATTTTTGCTCTGGTTGTTAGAAGGGGCATCGGCCTCGTGGCTTCCGAAGGAACTCGGCTTTCACCATGAAGCGTCATAATTCTTCTAACTGAAGACCTTCTAACTCCCAGGGCAGAGTTTAAATGGTTTGAATTATTTTTTCTGGTAAGCGTTTTTTTAGCGAGTTAGTTTTCTACGGGATGGGGACGCTAACCCCATGCCCAACCATCCTCCTTTACCCGGACTTGGGATCGGCGGTAACTCGAGAAGAGCTACAGACGGAGTTGAAACTAGGATAGCAATTCATAAAATTAAATTGTCATCATTGGTAGAATATGTGGTGGAATTCGAGGACAGAAGATGAGGGTTGATTGTGGACATAGAATATGTGTATAAAGTATTACTATTTTAAATCCAACATATCTGGTACGGTAGGACGTAAAGGAAATTAATGCTCAAGCCAATATGGCTCGCTTTGATCATCCTAATATACAAGCTCAATGATCACGCTAAGATATATCAGATACGATCTGAATGAACATAAAATGATTTTCATTCTCATCTCGCATACCAGACTGAAACACGATTATTTTATTTGATTGTATTTACATTCTTGTATAGTTTAATTATGTAAGTTTGTATCATTTTTGTTATTTTTATTCAAATTGGTTGTTTAAAATGTATATTTTTGCACTACTTTAAGTTGTATTTACTTTTAAACAAGTTAAAAAATGTGTATCAAAGTAGTGAATCATTGTATGTTATTTTCCATTTTTTGACGAAATAAGTGTTCCGTGAGCGAATTTTCGATTGGTAAAACATATGTAAAGAACGCTGATCGATTGGTGGTATCCAGCGACAACTGTTCATAGGACCGAATGATTGACCTAAGCTCCCAAAGGATTTACGATAAAGAAATTGCCATATTATGGGGTCTTGAAGACTGTTGAATTTGATTGAAATCACGAACCGATCTAAGTCAGACCACCTTTAAGTGCCTAGAAGTACTAAACGGCCATTTTGTCCTAGTACGGGACTCCTCAGCCTCCGAGTTTCGAATGGTGGTGATTTCGACAAAATATCACAAGCCAGAGGAATGGGTTTTACTTAAGTTATAAAATGATATGCTTATGTGCAAAATATTAATACAAAGTAAGCATGATAAATTGTCATACGTGGTTAGAGGGAATTAGTCACTCACTCACTTATTAATTGTTTGACTTAACTCTTCGACATTATATCACAAGTTTCGAACTTTGTGAACATTATTATCATTTAGTTAATTGCATGGGTTTGTATGTCACTGTTTTTGATAATTAGGACTGAGTTTGATCGTGCTTTATGTTCTTTCTATGTGAATTCCTTCGATATAGTCATTTTGTCACAAGTTTTATTGATATTTGGTTCTGGATTTTTCAAATGAACACTGATACTTGACAATTAAGTTGTTTATATGAATGATACTGAAGATTGTGATGACAATATCTTATTTGACATCTAAATATCTTTAAGTAAACGGAATATATCCATTAAGACATGAAATAAGAAAGAATGGTTCAGCGAAGTGTTCTCTTTTCAGCTTTGAAAATGAATCCGCCGAAATGGGAACTCTTCGTTGAACTAATCTTTCTTAGTTTAAATATCTGTCATTTATGTATGTATGACCTCCACAAATTATTGTCAGTTCTAGTTGCCACATCTCACATTAACACCACTTGATTCGCTTCTTTTTTTGGATAATAAGCAAATTGTGAGAGTCAAAAGCTTCATTGTAAATGATAAAAGTGTCATCAATATGTCTCTTCTATGTATGTTAAAACCTCTTACAGACTTCACTGAATACCTTTCTCAGTATTGGTTCACAAAACAAACCCAAGGATTTTTCATTTCTAATACTAACTCGGTAGTTTTGTTTGTTGAGGTTGAAATGAATATTCAAAGTTCATATGATTATAAACTCTTTCAGGATGAAGGCATATCGACACTTAGTCTATATATATCAGGGTAATCAGATATAAGTTTACTTGAACGGTTACGTACACCATGATGAGAAAAACCACGAGTGCCTCAAATCAGATGTTGGTATTCTTCATTCTTGAACTTTAGATAGTTCATAGTGTCAAAGAATTATAAATCTTATGACATATCATTAGTCGACAAATTGTAGATTTTACTAAATAATTAAATCGTCAAATAAGTGAACTTTTAATATGTCACTAATTAATTCAGTCAAAGTTATTAATTTTATTCTGAATAATAGTTATTTCTATGTCTGACGTTAACACCTAAATAAGGATCGATCACCATAGTCTTAATGGCTTATCTGTATGTATTGAATTATCAATGTTTATTTGTTTTTACTCCCACTATATCGGACCGTATACTACTTAATGATATTCAATAGTCTGGTAATATTTGCATATTATCCAGGGTGATGAGGTTTCAAATTTCCACATTATTTTCTTTATTATCCTTATCTCCTCTTATCCCCCCCAATTTCTAATTTAGTTGACCTTTTATTTTTCTATATAGGTGTTCTTAACAAGTATATGTGTGATCAGATTGTTCGAAGTGTATTGCGCTAATATATCACATAGTTCTGCTAATCTTCGTCTTATTACATTATCGAAATTTATCAAAGCGACTAACTGCTTCAAATCCAGTAGTCTATATTACAATAATCAGTTTTGGGACGTGTTTCGTGGAAAGTTTCCTTGTCTCAACTGAGCTGCTATTCCTAAATATTTACATTTTATCCGATCAGTGATCCAAAGACTAGAAGCCACATTTTATCCGACTTCTGATCCGTTTTGTTACCTATGAATTAGTAAATAGCGGTGGTACTGAATAGATTGCTCAGAGTTTTTAGGTGTTATAGTGATAATGATAACAGTAGTTATGACAACAATAGTGTGTGTGACTACGAGAATACAAACAGGGAGATTGCATTAATATTAATCGAATTATGTTGCCGTATCAAAATGATAACTAACTAATTAGGTCAGAAGCTGGTTAAAGTATACTTCTGGATACAAGGCTCTGGCTTTTTGATCCGAGTAGTTATTGCTTCAGCCGTCTGATGGATTGGGCAGATTGGTGTTAGTGCGATATATTGTTGTAAATGATTGCTCTATGTTGGTTGTTTATACCAAATGTACTAAAATCGAGTTGTTAACAATTTCGACTATATTTTTGTTTAACTACACTAGGTGCTCGCAAGTACGACAATGCATTTTCCTAGAACACCTGCCAGTCTGACTTTTTCCACAAAAGCAGTTGAACTGCCACAAAAGAAGTGGCTAGTCAAGGTTATTTATCGTTCAATCTCAGACGGACCATCGTGTTATTCAGGCTAGGTAGTGAATGAATAAGCATCAGATTGTTATTCGCATCACTGAAAATTATCAAATTTTGACAAAATTGGGTTGATAGGAAAGTTCAGTTCCATTAACACAATAAACAAATATCACATTAATTATCTCATATAAGTTCAATTTTCGGTAACTTCGACTTCGTCTAGTCCATATAATTCTACGTAAGATGTTGAAGCAAACTAGACTTTAGATGTTCAAGATTTCGATGTATTCAGGAATTGAAGATTTGTGCTCTTTCTGTTTAGACATATTATTAGCTCGCGATAAAATCACACTCATTCAAATTAACGCTTTCCTTAAATATCGCACAACAAAAATGAAATTGTTTAAATTTGACTAGAGTACTTAAAACTTTTCTTAGTCAAACATTGTTGTCTTTAATTCAAATATATTATTATTATTTGTTTAAAATCACTATCAAGCTCTGAATGCATGAATAATCTACTTAGCGGTTATCCCATTTTATTAATTTTTACTAATTTCGCCTAACGTTTTATACAGTATAGCCTTCCACAAAATATTTGATCTGATTTGTAATTAGATCATTATCTGTATCACTTCATATTAACCATATTTATTCTGATCATTATTCTCAGAATTCCATTTAACGTATAAACTTATTCAAGTTAATATTACACATTAGTTATTACAACACTAACAATTTTATATATCTTGAATTCTCATGCCATAATTTGAAACGATATATTTTGCCTTAAACGTGAACCCTGTTTGGATTTATTTATTTAGATATATAATTGTAGAAACTGAGGTGAATTTATTTTAAAAAATATTCTTCGTTCATATATCTGTGTTCCGTTATTTTACTTAGTATATTATTACAGATAAATCTCGTGTTTTGTCTGAGAGATTCTACGCTTAACACGAACATAAGTTTAGAATTCTTGAAATGATTTTTGCAGTCAGTCAACATTGAACCTGATATAATTGATGTCTGATTCAACTTTTTTTTGTTATACCATAAAATTAATTATTGATAGTTTTATCATTGTGATTTATTCGAAATTTCGTCAGTAATTCAAATAATGATGAAAATATCCTTTCTTTGTTTTTTTTTGAAAAAAAAAATGGATGATTTACAGTTTGTCCCTCGTCCTAATAATCTTTATCAAACCTTTAAATTGAATAGTTCTACGATGCAGAAACGAAATTTCGTAAGCGATTAGGTTTTTTTCTTTTTTGTTAATTATTGTTTTATCTTCAATGATAACTCTAATTGTTTGTAAAGATACAGCAACACTGTTCAAAGCCATAGCCAAATGATTTTGTTGTTTGAAAAAGGTATGCGTAGTCTTAGAATAGCTGCATCAGATATTGTATTGAGTGGTAGTTTCTAGGAAGCCGCTTTTTTGTGGTTTCAGACTGTTTGCATAGTACGAAGCTTTCAATTTAGGAAAATGGTCGATGATGACTATTTGAAACTTGAATTACTATAAGGATGATTGATGCAATAATCTTACAACTGCCTCATAATAAAAAGACTGCCTGAATTCGCAACATTCATGTGTATTTACCAACTCAACTGCACTTGTGCAGCCAGTTATGCAGGGCGTGCGATTCGGCAAGTCCGTCATCGCATAGTAGAACACCATCCATCTTGGTTGAGCAAAGGACCGGTAAGAATGATTAAGAGTTTTGTTCTCGCTCACTTGGTGGACACAGGTCATCAAGTTGACCTGATTAAAGCTTTTAAGGTATCCACCATATTCCATCAAATTTACCATGTTTTACGAGTTCGCCTTTTGCACATTGCTGAAGCTGTCGGAATCCATATTCACAAACCACACATTTTCATCCAAACTAAGTTTATACAACCATTCTCACTACCTTGATCATCGGTATAGAAGTGAGTTTTCTTCAAAATATCTAAACTGTTTTCCAATTTCTTCCACTTTTGTATTATATATATCCTTAACCTTCGTCCCTTGATTCTTATATAACAACTATGATAATATCAACGAAATGTAATTGAGAGCCAAACGTTATTTACTTCTGAAGCTTTAAACCTATTGTTAGCTTAGCCAACATACTTTTTGTTGTGATTTTGTTTAACCTCTTTCGTTTGTCAGAAATCACTTGCTTTATTCAATAACAAATTCTATTGTGGAAACTTTTTTTTGTTTTTACAATTCTATTGTAGAGTAATTCTGCTACATCAAAAGCTCACAGTACAAAAGTACTAATCCCGTCTCTGTCAACTCGACCATCAGAACAAGATATCTGTGAGATATTAAGGAAAAAATTGGAATTTAAAAAAGATAATAATTTATCTCTACCCACTCATTATCAGCAAAACAATGATACAAACAATCTTCCATCTTGTGATAATTCCATATGGCAACCTTTATCACCAAAAATCGATCATGAATTACGTAATTCAGAACGAACAAATCGTAGTCTACTCACTAGTATTTTGTCAGAACTGCCTGACTTAACAGCTGATTTTTATCCTTCAACAACTAGTCGGGTTAATGATTCCCAAGTATCGCTTAGAAATCGTTCTCAAGACATAGAGCATAAACCATTTGATCTTCGTTGTAAATCATCAAAGCGTATGGGTTGTTACGTAGAGTCTCCTGAAAAAGCTTTTCATAATTGGGTTACATTCGATTCTAGTCCACCTACATGTTCTTCTGAGTAAGTTTTTGAAATGCTTACCTTTTATATTTTTCAAATTGTGGCAAAGATTAATTTCAACTTCCATCTCTTATAGTTTAATATTCTAAATACAATCCCTCGAATGTCGAAAGACGCGTCCCTAGCATATTATTTACTCATATGGAATAGGAAACATTGATTCCAAAGCAATGACCAACATGCTATCCTAAATTCTAGTTAGGGTTAGCATCAAGTAATCCTACATCCAACAAGATAAAACGGTAATGTAATTCTTGAAGTAAAATCAGCTTCCATACTGAAAAATGTCCACTTACATAGTGTTAGGATAAAATCTTTGAGTAAAATGAAATCTTTAATCATTTTTCTGTACTTCATGCTCATTTACGACAGATCATTGCACCGTCAGAATATATAGAACTAATCGTTTTACGAATGTTTTATGTGTGTTTGTAGGACAACTACTAAATTGTGAGCACCAAGATTGAGTATAATTTTCTTTATGATAACTACTTGAACTTGTATATGCTAACTTTATTTAAATCGATAATTATTTAAATAATAATGGCTTTATTCGGTATTACATATGTGGTACAATGTAGAATCTTCATGTTTCTCGTAGTCCAGTGTGCTATTCACTATCTTGTGCACTTTAACTATTTGATGCTTACGAAGAAGTCATACCAAACATATCCAGACCGCAACACCTATTTTCGAGCTTTGGTTTGTTGAGATTGTTTGCCGTAACTAAATGTTTTACGTTCATGATCTATTGGTTTAAACATTTGGCTTTTAGTTGTTATATGAAGCACTTCAAATCCTATCTCTACTTGAATCTGAATAATAACTAGCTATGCATAAGTTTGGGTACTCAGTTGTTGTATTATATTAATCTGTTTGAATTTCAGCTTATTTAAATTAGTGTCAAAGTATCTCCAGAATGGCGAACAGGTTTTGTAACCGTTAGTGATTTGATTCAATTTCCTAATGTAAATTACAAGTTGTATATTTCCATTAATCCTTCACATTTCTCATTCTTTGTAAACATATTTTAGAGATCTTATTAATTTGACTGGTTCCCCATCCAAATCATCCAATACACTTGATCCGTTTTCAGATGATTCATTTGTAAGTGTACTTTTAAATCATTCAACTTTAAAATATCTGTAACTTCATAGTTGTGTTAATGTTTAAGCGTTTTTAGTTGGGTAGGAAAACGTTTAATAATGGTGTTTCCAAGATAACATATATTTTGACTGGTGTAAATGCTTAAACTAGGGAACATTATTAAATAATAGTCTATTCAGAACAATCTATATTTTACCATAATTCATCAGAAAATCCCTATTTAATTTACAAGAGTTTATGTATGATTTAATTAATATATTTATACTAATCCTTGATTGTAATTTAATGTCATATAGTCATAAGCCTCTTTTCGGTTTGTAAACGATTGGTATGCTAAATATATTTATAGTGATAAGAAATAAGTTTATGAGATGAACACGTGAAATCCAGCACAATTTCGTGTGAATTCAATTTGTTATACTTTGAATCATCACAGTAGAAATCAAGTACCTAGAAGCTAAGAAAAAAAATATGAAAAATTTGTATTACCAATAATGGTGATAATATATCATACAAGTTAAATTATTGTTACCTGGAAATGAACTATACAGGATCGTGCCACGCTTAAGATTTCAAAAGAAACAAGAATAAGTACTTTCGATTAACTGGAACAAATTTTGAGATCCATTCTCTAAGATCTCCAACTATAAATAACAATCATTTATGGACTGAAAACCGGTAATCCTACACTACTGTAGAGGTTGGCCTATTCCCTTTTTTCTTCGTACATACAACTACATGTTAACTGAATGTATATACGAAAAGATGTAGCCAATTTCACAAAGGTATAAGTCAAAAAAACATTTCTATGACTCAACATGACGTATTTTAGAGGACAGTAGTTTTCACCCATTGCTTGTTCGCCTTATAGTTATTTCTTATTTCGTTTGTGATAAGTTTTGTTAATGTAAACGCTTTATTCGGTCCCTATGCTATTCTGGTAACCTGCAAACTAGAACTACGCAGCGACCTGAATACGAGAGAAATGGTGCGAAATAAGCGAAAAGCACTTTAATCAAAGGTTCATTCTTGTACAGAAAAACACAGGTATTTACAGATGTTAACATTTGTTAAATCAGTCAGTCAGCTACAACGTAGGACCAGGCGCATATATGCATCAACCCAAGTTGCCATACCTCATTAACACAACAAGATGGACACCGGATTCATAAAAGTAGTTAATTCAGAGGTGGTAATATATAAAAGAAAGATTGCATATAAGGATATAGTACAGGAAGAAAGAATTAGTTCGTAGGAAGAAAGATATGAAGCGATTTTAATCTCTTAGTTTAAGGGAAGACAGAGAGTGTCTACACCAACGCCATTGTGATCGATTCTGAGCCATGTCACCCACAATCTCCAACCATTGGTTACGATAGTCACGTGGACCCCAACCAAGTAGTCTGCATCTACCAACATGGCTCAGACTAGAAGTTAGTGACTTCAAGCACTGATGCCACGTTTTGGTTTGGCCGCCTCTAACTTTCTTCCAACCATCTCCAACACCGGTTAGCATTGCACCTCGTGGTAATCGGTGTTGAGGCATACGTAACACGTGACCCAACCATTTCAGTCGATGAAGATTAACAAACTTATCAACTCATTTACCATCTTCATTCCCTAATACCCTGCGTTTAACCTCACTATTACTTACCCGGTGATCCCAACAGACGCCAGCAATATTTCTAAGGCATCTGTGGTCAAATACTAGTAGCTTACGAGTGTCTTCTACTCTTAAAGGTCATGTTTCTCAGCCGTAAAGTAGAACAGAACGAACTGATGCGCAGTATACTAGTCCCTTAATTGATAGACGGATATCTCGCCTTCGCCAAAGGTGACGTAAATTGGCAAAAGCCAAACGAGCTTTTCGAATCCGTACTGAGATTTCGTCCGATACCAACCCATTAAGGGTGATCAGACTTCCAAGATAAGTGAAGTTGTCAACCCGTTCGACTACTTCACTCCCTATCCTTAGTTCAGGTGTTGACGCAGACCAGTCCTGAAGCAACAACTTGCATTTCGAGGGAGAGAAGCGCATTCCAAACATCCTGGCATTGTTGCTCAGTGCTACCAAAAGACTGGATTTTGTCAAACAGGACAATATCATCTGCGTATTCTAAGTCGATAAGTGGACCTCCTGGTAGGAGATCAATACCCGAGAATTCAGTCGACGAGAATGTTGTTTCCGTAAGTATATCTATGATAAAGTTGGACAAAATTGGAGATTGGACAACCTTGAAGAACACCACTTGAGGTTGCAAAATCAGTCGACAGTCCGCCATAAGCTCTCACTCGTCTAGTAGTGTTCGAGTAAAAAGCCTTCACAAGGTTTATGTACTTCTGAGGTATACCTTTGAATGACAGACACTGACACGGAACCTACCGTTCTACCGAGTCAAATACTGCTTGTAAGTCAAGAAAGACCACCATTGTCGGACGCTGATAAGTATGCCTATGTTCTAGAACCTGACGAATGGTGAATATGTGGTCGATGCAGCCACGACCAGGTCTGAAGCTAGCTTGATTCTCTCGTGTTTGCAATTCACAAGTCTTAGTTAGTCGTCTGATAATTATCGAGGCTAGTATTTTAGGTACTATATTAGTTAAACTAATCCCTCTATGGTTGTCACAGGATGATTTTAACCCTCTTATATATTGGGACGATAAGTGATTGTGATCAGTCAGATGGAATAACGTCTAACTCCCAGATCTTAGCTAAAATATTAGTCAACCTATTCGCTAAAATTGGACCACCATACATAAAGACCTCTGGAGCCAATCCATCTGGACCAGCTGCCCTTCCTCGTTTCAGATTAACTATAGCGTTTTGAACTTCTGCTAGAGTTGGGGGACCTACTTCAATGTTCCATTCACATTGTCTGGGAATGGAGGGTAGTTGTAGAGTAGCTGAAGTCCAACTGAACTGTTCTCTGAAATGTTCCGCCATCGTTCTAAACGTCTGAACTGAGAGCAGATGAGGGTGTCGTCTTTTTCTGAAATAGTCTGACTTACTCATAAAAGATGAATAATATATATTTGTAAAATCTCAGCGAAAGAATTTGAAGTAATTCCAACATTTCGCCTGGCAATCTGGTCCAAGCTTTTTCAAGGAAAATATAATCAAACAACAAAATTATCGAATATTCCTCTTTAATGACTCACATTAACTCGGCGCCCAAATATTGTGAAACTATTCGTTCAAATTTAGACGAAAATTCTTATTCATTGGTCTGACTTACACTTGACTTATTAATCGCAGTTTCTTTTATTAGTCTGTAAAGCTGTCTTGTGTTCCCTATAGTCGCCGCCTTTTCCATCTCTTTTGCTTTCATTGCCCACCACTGCTCACGGTCGTTTCTTAGACTTTTTCTTAACCTAGATCTGATTTGTTGTCGCTCTTCATCATGTTCGGAACCTGATGGGACGAGTTTGCGAGAATCCATCAGTGTGATAGACTTTGAAGAAATCCACTGGTTCTTTGTAACTCTGTGGTTTAAGTCACTAATAGATGTCACTGCTGTTTCCACAGCTGCTTGTATGTCTTTCCAAGCAACATCTGGGTCAGCCTCGTCTTCAGAACTACCTAAGTGTGACCTCAGTTGTTCCTGGAACCTACTTTTGGTTTTCTCGTTACTCAACTCAGTTCTAATGGGTCTTTTTAATGTGGCTTTTTTGCGTCCAGTGAGGCGCAAGCAGATGCGTGCCCGTATTAGGGCATGGTCGGAGTCCAAGCAGGTACTCCAGAATGAGCGACAATCTTCTACCGACCCTCTCCAACGATGACTGATGGCAATATGGTCTATTTGAGTCCATCGTTGGTTTGGTGTAGGGGGTCGCCATGTTAGACGATGTCTCTCCTTATGCTTAAAATTTGTGTTTGCTAAAAATAAACGATTGTCTGAGCACAGTTGCAGCAGACGATCACCATTATCTGTTCGCTGTGTCGGAATACTAAAATATCCACCTAAATGCCTTTCTGTTTGGTTTAAACTACCTATCTGAGCATTAAAGTCACCCTACGAGTACTATGTCTGAGCGTTTAGCTTTCTGAAGAAGTTCGGACAGCTTTCTGTAAAATTCATCTTTCACTTCATCTGAGCTGCAGTCAGTGGGAGCGTAGGCAGAAACGACGTGTGTCCCTATCCTTCCGAGTTCTTACGGAGCCGTTTAGCCGAACAGCACATAGACGACTGTTGACGGGGATCCACTCTAGCAGTGCTTGTTCGCCCTCATGCTTAGTGCTATGCCTACACCTGCCAGTCCACGAGAACTGGCCATCGGGTCACCAGATACACGGAGGGTGTATCTCGTTGGCTCTCCGTTTGCCGAGGTGAGGTCAAGTGAATGACCACACTGGAATCCTGTATGCGTGTTTCGGAGACACAGCATACATCAATGGAAAGAGACTCTAGGGTTTTAGCCAAGGAAGCCTGCTGACCGATTTGACATAGGGTGCGTACGTTGAAGGCTCCAATGTGTAGTTTGGAGCGAGGTTTCAGTAGACCTGGGACAGTGTTTTGTGCACTAGAATCGTTGGCTGTGTTGACACTTGAGGGGAAGCCGAAGAGGAAGTTTAGAGTTGAAAGTCGATGTAGGAGGAATAATAGGAATTGAAGAGGAGGTTGATTATGAATACAGTGGTCTTGAGTGCTGTTAGAGGTATGAGGGCGGTTATCACTTCCCGGTTGCCCACACCGTGGAAGGGTTGTTCTGGAGGTACCTGAAAAGGAAATTGGATTAGAGGTGGTCTTAGTGACCTGAGAGCGTGACCGCAGTGCCCAAGGGACAACTGCTTGAGGTCGGTCACACACGACCTTTTATGGGTAATTTTTGTGTTAGCTCCGTACTTGTTAAGACCTTACCGCCGGAGACGGATATCCGTGGGATAAGGCGAGGTGTGCATTTTTAGGGTCGACCTTTTCTAACCCCACCCCTCCTTGTGGGAAGGCAGCATCGCTGTCATGCTGGTTGTCTGAAGGAAACACCTTACTGCTGTCACACCTCTGTACAGTCAGCAGTACGACTTCGCCTTCGGACCTTGGGTTTGTTGCTTTTAGTCTTACCGCTCTTCAACCGACCTGTCTGACATGGTAGGACCTTGAGGAACGGTTGTTCCAGCCAGTATAGCTCGGTTGCTTCATCACGATAGGCAAGCCCGACCACCACGTCAAGGTAGCAACAACGGTTGGGTTGTTAAATCAACATCATATTTTGAATAATCCGCTAAAAGACATATTATGCTACTAACCAATAGTAGCACGCCACTTTGATATTCTAGAAAGTTCCATGATGCTCTGATTGGCTAGGACTCTGACTCCTTTAGGGCCTCTGGAGGCTCCGTTGCAGTTCTCGGAAAGCCAACTCAACAGTTTTTTATCATCTCAGACATAATCCTAAACCAGAAAGTTATTAACAGAATTTAACCATGAAAGTTTTAATATGGGAATGAATTATATTACTTGTGCATTAAAAAGCAAGCCATAAATGATTATTGTTTTCTTTTTACTTTCATTTACTCGAATCAAGTCCAAATCTTTATCAACTAACACAAAACCAGCTAAATGTGATCACAATGAATTAGAACAAGCAATTCTTAATGAATTCGACCAATTTTCTATATCTCGAATGAGAAAAACATAATGGTGACAATTATAATTCTCACTTATGTATATGTCGTTATTATGATTAACTAATTTTAGTGTATATTTACAAATGAATCTCTGTAATCGTCGATCTGAGATCTCAGTTCATGATAAAATTTCATTCCATTTTCTTAGAATCTAATAGAGATTTCTTACGTTTTTTCTTATTACAATCGAGACAATCATTTTTTTAAACTTTACATTATTTGTTTATTTGCTAAAAAAGTTTACTCGAATATTTAAATTCTTTATATTTCAAAAAAAGTTGATTATTAATAATGTCGTTTTGTGTATATTGAACATTTGAAAAACATTAATATTTTGGTGGAGTTTTGTTCTCTGAGCTGGATGGTTTGGTCGTGTATGGGTCGGTTCCCTATATACTTGAGTTTCCAGTTTTCCTGTATCAGTTCTAGTGATCGATATATCCAAGAATGCCAGTTGGTTGTTTGACTCCTGTTCCATTGTGAACTTGATGTCATTGAAAACGTTGTTGATCAGTTTGTATGTGTTTTCCAGTTCATCCTTTTTGACGATGACGAAGGTGTCGTCCACATAGCGAATCCAAATTTTTGGCTTGATCACTGGCAATATCGTGGCTTCTAGTCTTTGCATCACTGCCTCTGCGATCAGTCCTGATATTGGTGTCCCTTTTGTTTGTTCGTAGATTTTGTTGTTGAATTGAAAATATGTGCTTAGGCATAGATCAATGAGTTCCAGTAGACTTTGAATTTGAAGCTTCGTGTATTTGGTGAGATATGTGTCGTTGTTGATTAGCAGTGATATAGTTTCTTTTGCTAACTGGTTCAATTGAGATGAACGGTGTTGTTACGTCGAAGGATATCATGAGTTCGTCGTTGTTGATTTGAATATCCTTAATTTGGTCCAGGAATTGTGTTGCGGACTTGATGGAGTGTTTGGCTGAATCTACTAGATGTCTCAGTATTCGTGAAATTTCTTTTGACAAATTGTACGTTTGCGTTCCGGGGAGTGCTACTATTGGACGTAGTGGAATGTTTGGTTTGTGTATTTTGGGTCTGCCATAGAATCGAGGGCGCACTGGTCCGTTGGATTTCATTCTCCATTGTTCTTGTTTTGTTATTTCTCCTGCTTTGACTAACTTGTTTAAAGTCTTTGAGATTTGGTTGTCTAGTTTTTTGACGGGATTTGTGTCCATCAGTTTGTATGTGCTCTTATCTCCGAGTAGTTCTTCGGCTTTGTTGACGTATTTTTCTTTGTCCATGATTACTGTGGTGCGTCCTTTGTCCGCTGGTATTATGACAGTATCCTTTCTATTTTTGAGTTCTTTTAAGGCCTTTTGTTCTTGTGGAGTCAGTTAGTTGTTTTCCTTCACCTGTTGAGTTAGCGGTACTATAGTTTGCCTTATTTCCTGTTATGTTTCTTCACTGATTCCGGAAGTTTTGAGTGATGACTCTAGTGCTGCGAAGAACTCCAGCTTTGAGGCGTCGCTTGTATTGTAGTTTAGTCCCTTTTGGAGCAGGTGTTCTTCCGTATTTGTTAGTGGTTGTTTTGACAGATTGATCATGCAGTTGTTTGTGTTTTCTTCCATGGATGGTTTTGAGATTTTGATTAGTTTTTTCTTTAAGGTGTTTCTTCTTTGTTCTCTATGTCGTTTGCATGATATCTCGATGGCTGTTGTCACGATTCCCAAATGTTCTGATGTGAGCATCCTTTGTAGCTTTATCTTTTGGTCCTCTATGACGTGTTGGTATTTGCGGATCCTGTAGTGTGCATCCGTTATCATTAGGTGTACCATTTTTCTTCCACTTTGCACAGCTATTCTCCATCCTAATGGGCAGTTGATTGGAGGTCTATATCTTACACTTGTTGGTAGAACATGCTGGCGAAGACACTCATGGAGAAAATATAGTTGTTCTCGAGTGGAAGCCTGCATTTTGGCGAAATTTTCCCATTTTCGAACAACGAGAAGCGTATTATGCTCATATGATTTTGAGATGGTGGAGATTTGTAGCTCAGGTGGATGATTTTGGTGGAGCTCAGAGAACAAAACTCCACCAAAATCATCCACCTGAGCTACAAATCTCCACCATCTCAAAATCATATGAGCATAATACGCTTCTCGTTGTTCGAAAATGGGAGAATTTCGCCAAAATGCAGGCTTCCACTCGAGAACAACTATATTTTCTCCATGAGTGTCTTCGCCAGCATGTTCTACCAACAAGTGTAAGATATAGACCTCCAATCAACTGCCCATTAGGATGGAGAATAGCTGTGCAAAGTGGAAGAAAAATGGTACACCTAATGATAACGGATGCACACTACAGGATCCGCAAATACCAACACGTCATAGAGGACCAAAAGATAAAGCTACAAAGGATGCTCACATCAGAACATTTGGGAATCGTGACAACAGCCATCGAGATATCATGCAAACGACATAGAGAACAAAGAAGAAACACCTTAAAGAAAAAACTAATCAAAATCCAAAACCATCCATGGAAGAAAACACAAACAACTGCATGATCAATCTGTCAAAACAACCACTAACAAATACGGAAGAACACCTGCTCCAAAAGGGATTAAACTACAATACAAGCGACGCCTCAAAGCTGGAGTTCTTCGCAGCACTAGAGTCATCACTCAAAACTTCCGGAATCAGTGAAGAAACACAACAGGAAATAAGGCAAACTATAGTACCGCTAACTCAACAGGTGAAGGAAAACAACTAACTGACTCCACAAGAACAAAAGGCCTTAAAAGAACTCAAAAATAGAAAGGATACTGTCATAATACCAGCGGACAAAGGACGCACCACAGTAATCATGGACAAAGAAAAATACGTCAACAAAGCCGAAGAACTACTCGGAGATAAGAGCACATACAAACTGATGGACACAAATCCCGTCAAAAAACTAGACAACCAAATCTCAAAGACTTTAAACAAGTTAGTCAAAGCAGGAGAAATAACAAAACAAGAACAATGGAGAATGAAATCCAACGGACCAGTGCGCCCTCGATTCTATGGCAGACCCAAAATACACAAACCAAACATTCCACTACGTCCAATAGTAGCACTCCCCGGAACGCCAACGTACAATTTGTCAAAAGAAATTTCACGAATACTGAGACATCTAGTAGATTCAGCCAAACACTCCATCAAGTCCGCAACACAATTCCTGGACCAAATTAAGGATATTCAAATCAACAACGACGAACTCATGATATCCTTCGACGTAACAACACCGTTCATCTCAATTGAACCAGTTAGCAAAAGAAACTATATCACTGCTAATCAACAACGACACATATCTCACCAAATACACGAAGCTTCAAATTCAAAGTCTACTGGAACTCATTCGATCTATGCCTAAGCACATATTTTCAATTCAACAACAAAATCTACGAACAAACAAAAGGGACACCAATATCAGGACTGATCGCAGAGGCAGTGATGCAAAGACTAGAAGCCACGATATTGCCAGTGATCAAGCCAAAAATTTGGATTCGCTATGTGGACGACACCTTCGTCATCGTCAAAAAGGATGAACTGGAAAACACATACAAACTGATCAACAACGTTTTCAATGACATCAAGTTCACAATGGAACAGGAGTCAAACAACCAACTGGCATTCTTGGATATATCGATCACTAGAACTGATACAGGAAAACTGGAAACTCAAGTATATAGGGAACCGACCCATACACGACCAAACCATCCAGCTCAGAGAACAAAACTCCACCAAAATATTAATGTTTTTCAAATGTTCAATATACACAAAACGACATTATTAATAATCAACTTTTTTTGAAATATAAAGAATTTAAATATTCGAGTAAACTTTTTTAGCAAATAAACAAATAATGTAAAGTTTAAAAAAATGATTGTCTCGATTGTAATAAGAAAAAACGTAAGAAATCTCTATTAGATTCTAAGAAAATGGAATGAAATTTTATCATGAACTGAGATCTCAGATCGACGATTACAGAGATTCATTTGTAAATATACACTAAAATTAGTTAATCATAATAACGACATATACATAAGTGAGAATTATAATTGTCACCATTATGTTTTTCTCATTCGAGATATAGAAAATTGGTCGAATTCATTAAGAATTGCTTGTTCTAATTCATTGTGATCACATTTAGCTGGTTTTGTGTTAGTTGATAAAGATTTGGACTTGATTCGAGTAAATGAAAGTAAAAAGAAAACAATAATCATTTATGGCTTGCTTTTTAATGCACAAGTAATATAATTCATTCCCATATTAAAACTTTCATGGTTAAATTCTGTTAATAACTTTCTGGTTTAGGATTATGTCTGAGATGATAAAAAACTGTTGAGTTGGCTTTCCGAGAACTGCAACGGAGCCTCCAGAGGCCCTAAAGGAGTCAGAGTCCTAGCCAATCAGAGCATCATGGAACTTTCTAGAATATCAAAGTGGCGTGCTACTATTGGTTAGTAGCATAATATGTCTTTTAGCGGATTATTCAAAATATGATGTTGATTTAACAACCCAACCGTTGTTGCTACCTTGACGTGGTGGTCGGGCTTGCCTATCGTGATAAAGCAACCGAGCTATACTGGCTGGAACAACCGTTCCTCAAGGTCGTACCATGTCAGACAGGTCGGTTGAAGAGCGGTAAGACTAAAAGCAACAAACCCAAGGTCCGAAGGCGAAGTCGTACTGCTGACTGTACAGAGGTGTGACAGCAGTAAGGTGTTTCCTTCAGACAACCAGCATGACAGCGATGCTGCCTTCCCACAAGGAGGGGTGGGGTTAGAAAAGGTCGACCCTAAAAATGCACACCTCGCCTTATCCCACGGATATCCGTCTCCGGCGGTAAGGTCTCAATAAGTACGGAGCTAACACAAAAATTACCCATAAAAGGTCGTGTGTGACCGACCTCAAGCAGTTGTCCCTTGGGCACTGCGGTCACGCTCTCAGGTCACTAAGACCACCTCTAATCCAATTTCCTTTTCAGGTACCTCCAGAACAACCCTTCCACGGTGTGGGCAACCGGGAAGTGATAACCGCCCTCATACCTCTAACAGCACTCAAGACCACTGTATTCATAATCAACCTCCTCTTCAATTCCTATTATTCCTCCTACATCGACTTTCAACTCTAAACTTCCTCTTCGGCTTCCCCTCAAGTGTCAACACAGCCAACGATTCTAGTGCACAAAACTGTGTCCCAGGTCTACTGAAACCTCGCTCCAAACTACACATTGGAGCCTTCAACGTACGCACCCTATGTCAAATCGGTCAGCAGGCTTCCTTGGCTAAAACCCTAGAGTCTCTTTCCATTGATGTATGCTGTGTCTCCGAAACACGCATACAG